TAATAATATTTTTTTCCAATTTTAATATCAGATGTATCCATATTAAGCAGAATGATTTTGAAGTATTTCTTCTTTTTCTATTGTCTATAAGATTGGGCATGATCTGTTTTTTGAAATTATCTTTTATTTTTATTCATAAATATTAGTTATCTATTTTTTGAGATTTGGAAAAAAAATAGTAAGTTAATTGATGACTCTATACTGAACCTCAGAGTCAAAGCATTCTATTGTAGTCATACTCTTACTTGACAATGTGAATGTTATTTTCTTTGCGTTACTATTATTGTTATTGCTTAATACTACATTGCAGCAATCATCTGATTTCTTTTCTGCATGTGAATATCTTCATTCATTCTTTACGAGGTTTTTGTTTTGTTTCTAGTCCTTATCTTAAACATTGTTGCTGTTGGTAAATTTTAAGCCTTTTTAATTCTGTGAAGGCAAAAAGTGGAAACCTATTGATCACATGTATATGTAAAAATAAAAAGATAATAGAAAAATGTAATTTTCTTAAATATTTAACAGAAATAAATAAGTATTCTTAACTGGACACAATAAAATGAACATATTTATTACCCACCCTAAGAAAAATAACTTTTTTTGTACATCAGAAATAACGTGTGCCCCTCCATTTCTATTTTTAGTATATTTTGTGTCAGACCCGTAGTAATTTTACTTAGATGTTTACATATTAAATTTTTATTTGTGGGAAGATTTAAAATTCCAGCTTGTCAAATTTCACTTGTCAAATGTATTGGCTTAAAATCATCTATAATATTTTCTCATCACATAAGCTCTCTAAGAACAATATCACATCTCTAATTTCTATATTTTAAATTTTTATCTTTCTGTTTTTCTTAATCAGGCAAACTGGACTTTTATCATTTATTTAATCTTTTCAGAGATTAAACTTTTGGTACTATTGATTGCTTCTACATATGTTTTAAACACAAAAATCATCTTGCTTTAATCAATGACGCTATAAATGGTTTTAATAGGAATAAATATTTTCTTTTTTATCCATTTGCCAGTACCTAATATTTGTCTTCCCTTCCTATAAGTGCCGGTTTCTATCACGAACCGTTTCATTTCAGCCTGAAGAACATCCTTTGACATATTTTGTAGAGGCTAATTTCACAAATTTTCTTTGAAAATGAATTTATTTTGCATTTGTGTCTGAAGGATGTCTTCACTGACTACAGAATTCTAAATGTTTGTTTTGTCTTATTTTATTTCATTTTTATCTCTCTACATGTGCTATTTCATTGTCCTCTGGCTTGTATTAGCTCTGAAGGTATATCGAGTGAATTCGGAAATCTTCCCACCTCTACATGCTATGCCTTTTTGTCTCTGGACACCCTAAACACTATCATCCCTCTCATTAGGTTTCAGCGGTTTGATAATTGCTATCATCTCTGACATTCTTGGATCTCGTTTCATTGACTGATTTTCCCCCTTATCGTGATAGATCACAGTTTCTGACTTGTTTGCAGACCTTGTACTTTTGGTTGCTCACTGGACACTTTTAACATGGCATTGGTGAATGGAGGTATTTTACTCTTGAGTTTTATTGTGCAGGACGGTTAACTTGCAGATAAGCTAGAACTCTCGAGACTTTTTAAAGTCTTCAACAGGATATATGCAAAGGAGCCTTTGCTGTGGAACTAGTTTAACCTTATTTCTCATGTACAGTCTTTCCAGGTCCTCCAGTAAAGACTGTTCAGTAAGAGCTCTCCACTCTGATTGTGTAGAACTCCTGTGTCTTCCACTCCTACCTGTGTGGGCTCCAGAGGTTGTAAAATTTAGAGGTCCCAGGTTCTTGCTCTTTTTTCAGCTCTGAGGAGTTCTGCCTACCTGTTTGCAGTTTAACATGACCCCTAGGCTCAGAGGAACCATTTGACAGATTATGGGAGGTCTACCTTTGCGTAGCTCGTTCTTCTCCAGTCCGCCACAAGACAGATTCCACCTGGTTTAGTCAAGTTGAGTCCCATTCTCTGTGTCTGCATCTCACTGAAGCCCTCATCATCTGTCCTCTGTGTGAGTTCTCCCTCCTGGGAGAGGTCTGGTCAATATCTTCAGGCAAAAAGCCAAGCACTTTTGGAGATTATAGCACTTGTTCTCTTAGGGATCATAGTTCTCTTTCGTCAGTTATACAATGTCTGAGGGCACTGTTGAGTTTCTCTTTGTTTATGGTGTGACAGCTAATATGGTTTCAGTTACTCAGTTATAGCCAGAAATAAGATTTCTAAGAACACATTTTTTAAATTGATTAATAAAAACAAAATCCAAAAGATTTTGCATAAACAAAGTACTGATTCTTCATCTGAGGTTGCTGTTAAGCTAAAACAGTGTGTGAATTTGAAAATATATGTGGGTACCATTTTCTGGGGAATACAGAATGTCAAAAGTACCAGTTGAGTTTAAATTTCATACTCAAGAAACCCCTAAGGGTTTTTTGAAAGGCATTTAGTGGATATTTTCAGGAAATATTTCTTTATAATTGTGTCCTGGAAATGTCTTGAAACCACAGGGGAAAAAAATGGGATTGTACTGACCACAGTCCAGATTTACACCAAAAAGATTCCTCAAAATATTTAATAGATATTTGGGAAATTCTTTGCCTTTTAGGCAAAATTATTAATTATTATTTTATCAATTTAGCATTTTCTAAAATACATCCATGTGTAACTAATAAGTAAATGAAAAAAGTCTTCAAGTTAATAGCAATAAAACAAGAGATCCCTTATAAAAATAATAGATTGTTTAAAACTACACTTCTGATGTTTCTTCTCAAAGACTATTTTTTTGATAGCTTTACCATCTCATTATTTATCATCTAAACCCACCTGTTTTCTCACCCTAGAATCCTGACATCAACCAGGACTACCAAATGATGACCATTTGTATCAATTTTACTCCTGACTATGACTTAATATTGTTGTCCAGTACCTTAATCCAAGCCAGCATTACTTTCAATTGGGCTACATTAGCCTTGTATCCTATCTAAATTTACCCTACAACAATCCATTTCTCATGTAAGATTGTTCAAGAATTTTAATTTTTGTCTTTTTTAGGAAAACTCTGAGAATACTAACAAAGCTTATAAGGTCTGGCCATTTCTGACTTACCTCTCTAGTCCTTCTTTTTGTGATTTGTGTCACCAAGTTCGGCTTCATGCACACTTGTGTCCTGATCCTGATCAAGCTGCAGTGAACTCTCAGAGCACCCTCCATCTTGCTGGTTCTCTTTCTGCTTCCTGTATTTCCTCTAGCTAACTTCCTCAGCAAGCAGCATCCTGCAGGCAGGCCTTTCTGAAGTCCTGCACACAAGTATCAGCAGGTTATCACGAGTGACGTGACTCGTTCAATGCCTAGTTGGTTCTCCACTGAAGTTATGAGTTCTGTGAGGGCAGAGAACGTATATGTTACTCATTTTGTGGTTCCATAACTCAGAGTCCTACCTGAGTTATAGCTGATACTTGATGATTTATTATTCTATCTTGATTATTAGATGAGAAAAGTTTCTTTCAGGGAGGGGTTCAGAAATGGTTACCCTTTGTTACGGTTACAGGAGCAAGAATAGAAGCAACCTTTATGGAAATTAGTTCAAAACACTTTTTCACAATCTTTAAATATTTGTCTCTGTAATTTCAAATTTTAGATGTGTTATTCAAGGGAAATGCTCAGATATACACATAGTTAGTATAGAGTTGATTTAAGCATTGTTTATAATATAAAAACTTAGAAACCCTCAAACATCCAGTAAATAAATGGTGGTTGGCTTAATAATTAGCAAGATTTATCAGCTTAAGTTATCAAACTGTTTTCATATAATTTTGACATAAAAGCTTCTAGTGAATCTTCAGGTACCCTGTATTTGGAAACCAAATAATGGTTTCAATTTTAGAAGAAGAAAAAAGCTTTTGGAGGAAAATAAAACGGACTCTTTATTTTAAAATGATAGCCGTACCATTTCACCTCCATGTCATAAATCTTATTTAAATAATAGTGATCAGCTCATAAAAGAAAGAAAAAAATATATATAAACAACATTATTCTGCAAAATCCTGATGGTTATTTAAGGGTAAGAAGTAGTATCTATCTTCTGTTGTTGTTAACAGTTAGTCACAGTGGGGAGATGTTAAAAAAACTGAGTCTGTTTAGAACCAACAGGTTGTCTTTGAATTGTTTTGTAATGCATATAACTCTGCCATTTTAACCTGCTAGTTAACATATTGTTTAATGATCCTTCCTTAATGACATACTTTCCCCAATGTGCATGAGACATACAGAGTGTGCATTAGATGTAAGGCCAGTATTCGGGGTGCTCACTGGATCACTGGAGAGACAAAACAGATATGCATAGCCTTGGCATAATATATATATAGACCAAATGACTACAGGCCAAAATAAAGGGTGCAGACATCAAATGCCCAAGGAAGTTGAGGGAGGCAAAGATACATGTGGCTGGAGACAGCTTCAGGATAAAAGAAGATGTTGGGCAATTTGCCATGACTGTGAACATTTCCTGAAAAGAGATGCCTCAAGTTTTACATCAGAGGCCTGGTGAGCTATCTCATGGCTGTACTCCTAGCTCTTTGGGAGGCTGAGGAGGGAGCATTGCTTGAGCTCACAAGTTTGAGACCAGCCTGAGCAAGAGCTAAACACATGTATTTGTTTATTTTTCTACTAAAAATAGAAAACTTAGCTGGGCGTTGTGGGGGGTGTCTATACTCCCAGCTACTCGGGAGGCTGTGGCAAGAGGATCACTTGAGCCCCAAAGACGGAGGTTGTTTTGGGTTATGATGGCACCATGGCACTCTTCCCAGAGCAACAGAATGAGACTCTGTCTTAAAAAAAAAAAAAAAAGAGTTTTACATCAGAGAATGCTAACCATTAATTTATAAATGAATGGAATCCTTTTAACAAAGCAATGTAAAGTGGATATTGACCAATGATTCTGACTCGATAATACTCATTATATTTTTGACCTCTTTATAGCTCTCCGGGATGCTGGCAAACAGTCTATTAATAGTGACTGGAAGATTGAACACTCTGGAACCTTCAATTTAGCTGGAACTTCCGTTCATTATGTAAGACGAGGCCTCTGGGAGAAGATCTATGCCAAAGGTCCCACTACAACACCTTTACATCTCCTGGTATGAGGGAACGGATTGACAGCATTGCATGATGGACTTCCCAAGGCTCATGACATTCCAACTCCAGCTTTTCTAATCTTTTTTCCAAAGTTAAATTGGAAATTTAAGTAAAAGACATTTAAAATTATTTAATAAATTAGTTTTTAGGGTTTTTAAAAAGTGTGTTCTAAATCATAATATCTAAAAGCAGAAACTATTATGAGAGGAATAAAACATTTTACAGAATTCACAGACTCAAAGTACAGATGCATTATTAGGGAATCCTAAGAAACCTCTTTTTCCTAAAAGCGTCCATTTACTAACCAGAGTGATGTCTATAAAAAGAGTACTATGAAAGGGCCATTGTCTGAATCTGCATAAAAATCCTTTGATGAAATGTTATTTTGCCAGGGGGAAATAATTTGATAAATACATCCAGCCATGCTCCTAGTTAATATTTTTTTTACTAGGCTAATGTATTCCTACAAAAAATTATGAAAATTTGAATGTGTGAAATGTAAGTTTTTTACTATGTAGTAAAGGGTTAGGTATAAGTTATATAGAGTTTGGAGGAACAATAATTCCTGATTGGGCCATGGGACTCTGTCCAGGCTGGTCACAGGTCCAGGTGCCCCTTTTCACCTTGACAATGGGGTTAGTGCTAATGGCACAGGAGCCAGGAGACCGGACACACAGCTGGGGAGGGTTTTCCATCCTCGTGGCAGAAAGTCTAAAATTCAGGCCCTTCAACACTTCCTTGAGTCCACATATAAAACAACTCTGAAACACAACAAATTGACTGTTTATTTGGAGCATGGTGTGCCACATTACTTAATATCACCACACAATTTAAGACAAATTTGTTGTGTTGGTAGACTAGGAGCCAGAGGTTCACATCACCTATTGGTCCATTTGCTTCTTATTTTAAATAACATTAGATATTCAGTGTTATGTTGCAGGTCCTTTAATGTTGCCTGCAAATTCCCAGGGGTACTTGTGACAATGCACATTCTGATCTCTTTGGTTTGGGTAAGACCTGAGATCTGTGTTTCTAAACATCTTTCACCTGGTCCTGTTGCTAAGGGCCAATACATGACAGTTTAGAATACAAAGTTTTACCTAACTACAATTGATAGGTTTTATCAGCAGGAATAAAGGGAGCAGGGTGAGTGGTGTGCAAACATTTGTTCTAAATCTTGACGATATGCACCATTCATGGAGCACTAAGAATCAAATGCTGTCCAAAAGTGCTTTAATTCATTACACATTCAATCCTCTCGATAATCACGTGTAATCTATAGTCTTACACCATTGTACAGATTAAAATGAACTAAGCATGAGAAAAGTTAAGCAATGTGGCCAGTGTTGTCCAGTAAGTTATTAGCTGTGGACAAACCAGGTGTCATTCACTCCCCTAGGCTACCTGTCTGATGTAAAGCTTAGATCCAAGTCCGTTATGCCAAACTGCCTTGGATCATCTACCTCCGTACAGTATGAATAATTATTTTGTGCCTCTCACAAAATTCCTTCAGATCCTCTTATTTAATTTCAGTTGGAAAGGGCACTTGGTGCCTTCTGCCATTTAGAGAGAGAGAAATGACTAAACATTCAGTATATAAGCAATGTCTGGCTCATTCCAGAATGGATCGCTTATAAGAACATTTTTATCAGCAAACGTATTTTAATGATTGTGTTACCGAAAAGTACCATCATGCTATCTGCCTTATATAAGTGTAACCTACTTTTTTAATGGAATAAGACCAAGGCATTTTTTTTTTTGCTGAGCTTCTAATTCAAAATCTTAAAACAGTCAATGTGAGACCTTGGTGCTGGTCAGAGAGAGTTTCCTTGCTGCAGAATCCTTAATCTGACTGGTAATTACCAAGGTTTTTCCTGGAAGCATGAAGCATAATTAACGTCAGTGAACTATGTCTAAAAGAAGGCATCTCTGTGACCTGGATTTATTCAGTAATCCAAGGGAAACTGTACTTCTAAGATATTTTTTTTAATGACTATTACAGATTGAGAGCTGGTACTGAATTCTGAAAGGCAGTACCTTCTGCTCCCGTGCTCCAGCGTGTGCCGCTCCACTCCAGCCCAGTCACACTTTCCTTTTGTGAAGCATACTGCCAAACGCAAATGGCTTCAGAAAAAAGCTAACGGTTTTGTAGCCAGTGACTCTGTTTTAAAACAACATTAGATGTTCAAGGACAATTGAAAGTTCTATCAATGAAAAGGTAATTTATTAGGAAGACATAGGCACATATTTACATAATTAAATAAGTTGGCAAATAGATGTTATGTGTATGGTCATTTTACCAATTTAAAAACTATGTAATAGACCAGTTATAACTGTAAGCAAAGTCCATCATTAAAAAAAAAATCTCATTCAAACTCTCTTTATTTAAACTTACTAGGCTAAAAGTCTCTTATAATTGGCAACATCAAATCTTACTTTGGCTTTTAAAAGATATTTAAGCCAAAGTAAGCAAGGTGATGTATTTAGAATTAGTACCCAGTATGCTATGCCTTTTTGAACTTAAAAGCTGTTACTTCTGTTATTGATATAGTTGTTTCATAAAGTCAGAACACTAGTTCCCCAGTCCATCAAAATATATCTTAGTAACTCTGTTGATATGTTGAACAAAACCTTGAGACAAAGAAGTAAAGAAAATCCAGTAGAAATGTTCAGACACTTAACCTTGGGCCCATTTATATTTTATTTCATGGAGTATTAACTCTGCATAACCTATCATTACAACTATCTAGATACAGGTTAATGATTGAACAAAGTCCCTTAGTAATTTTGTAAAATTTAAAAATGTAGGTCCATATATTTTTTAGCATCACATGGTATTATATAGATAGTTTCCGTAGATCCTCAGATCTATGTAAGCGGTATATTTCAAGGACTAGTTTGATACATTTTCCAAAAATGTATTTACAAAGAAATAGATATTCTTATTTACTCTTTTTTTATACATATATCCCTGCATGCCTAAGTGGCCATGATGATCCAGTTCTGATCTTAGCACTGGGTACCTGCTGAGAATAAAAAGAAACAGATATAGTTCCTCCTTATACTTTAGTCCAGTGTAGCCCAAAGTTCAGTCATTCCCATAGATCCTTTGTTTTACTGAACTATTTACAAGGATATATATAACTGTATAGTTATTAAATTAATATTTCTTAAAATTTTCTTTCAACGAAAATTTATTTTCAAATGAAGTAATCTTTACTACAAATGGAAAATCAGTAATCTTGCCAAAGTAAAGGTTAAACATAAACACACATGCAGTGAAATTCTTGTCCTTCAGTTGGTTTAGAAGTTCTCTGTCCTTAAGGAGTGGAATGTTCCCCAAAGTCTGAGTCTTCCATTCTCATCCTTTGCTGACTCGGAGGCTTCCTGTCCATCTTTTCTTTTTACATGAGTGGAAAGTCTACACATTATATTATGGGTCATATATTGACATTAGATAGGACACATATTTTTTTCCACCTCTCCTCCCCACCCCCACTAAAGTTATACATGTACCAGGCTTTGGGAAACTGTCTAGTCCATCAGATTGGAAGAAAATGATTTGTTATCTCTGATCTCACTCAAATGAGCTTTTCTTCATGATGTCTTTAGTGCAGGGGGAAGTATGCAGCTCTAATTTTTCAAAAGCATGGCAATATCAACATTTATAAGTGATGTCACATTGTACCTGCAGTCCTGGCTACTTGGGAGGCTCAGGTGGCAGGATTGCCTTAGCACAGGAGCTTGAGGTTATTGTGACTATGATCTCACACTGTCCTCTGCATAGCTGCCTGGGCAACAGAGTAAAACCCTGTTCAAAAAAAGAAGAATAAGAAGAAATATATATCAGCAACAACTGAAACTCACAAGCACTACGCAATACGCATTTTAAAGTGTCAGTACCCTTATTTCTATGCTTCACACCGAATGTACTCTTGTTTGATCCATGTGCCTTGATCATTTTTAATACTATAGGTGCTCCTGTTTCAGGATCAGAACTATGGTCTTCACTATGAATACACTATCCCACTGGATCCTCTCCCAGAGAACCAGAGCTCTAAAGCACCTGAGCCCCTTTTCATGTGGACACACACAGGCTGGGAAGATTGTGATGCTACGTGTGGAGGAGGTAAAGCATTTTAAAATATTTATCCTTCCAAAACATCATTTGTTTTCTGGTTAACCATTGTTAATTAAGACAGATCCCAAATTCCTACTCTGTAATTTCAAAATCCATAAAGATCAGAAACACAAAGTTTAGTATGCCATGTTTGGTGGTTAAACACCTGAACTACTTTGTGGCCCAGTTTTCCTCTGATTAGCTATGCTGGGGACACTCTGCATTAGAATATTGAGTCTCTTACAGGCATGCAAATTCCTATTCCTCTGCTCCACCCATCTGCACTGGTGCCAGGACCCTGCTTCACATTCTCTACCCAAATAAAAAATGAAAACACAAAGAGAAGCAAACACTTTCAGAATGAAAATGTACACAATTACAATTTTCTCTCTAATGTAACTCAGATGAGATTCTTCGGTGTGTGTAAAATCCAGCAGACACATCCCACCTCCTGATGGTGATGGATGATGGAGCAGTGAAGTGATAGAGAGGCCAGTAGC